TGACCTACATATCGAAGTTGTGATTTTTTAAATGGAATGCCTCAAATTTTATTGTATACTTGGATACAGCAATTCAAAAGAAGAAGATTGATATAACATATTATGTGGTTTTGGTAATTAGCTACTGAGGTGTAAGGTGTTTTGTCCAGAAAAACCGTCCACTTCGGCAACCCCTCAATCCGCCATTTTGAAATTTGGAGTGCTGAATTTTATATCAAAAAAACTTACACACCTCAGCTTTTATCTTACTTGTTACTTTTTTTAATCTTCTTTTTTGCTCATACAGGGTGGTCAAAAACGCGAATTGTACTTTGTGCAAGTTTGGATTCAATTTTTTATAAGGTTTTTTTTTTGGTATAAGGTTTGATTCAGATAAAATCACTAGATTCTGAGCTATTAAGCTTTTCATAGAACAACACACCAAAATTAAGGAAAAAAATCACATCATCCATGGAAACACAAGACAAACAGTGGGCTAGTTCTATATTGCCACTAAGAGTACAGATTTGAGGTAAAAACTAATAACAATCAGAACAGTATCAATCAGCTTCAAGCGTAATAGAGAAAAACGACTATAACAACAACATAAACAAACAACTATCACTACTCGAGACCTAATCTACAAAAACAGCTCGAAAATATCTCCACCATGTTGAATACACAGCCGTAGTCTTTGGATAAATGACCGTTGCACACCCCTTATGTTCAGAAAAGCATCCTTAATATTTCCTCCATATTTTCCGGGATAGATGGTTGATATCTATAAACCTCTTGCTTAACGTAGCCCCATGGAAAGAAGTCCATCGGTGTCATATCTGGTGATCTAGGAGGCCAAGATATAGGCCAAAGTGTGAGGTTTTTCTAGACAAAACACCTTATATCTCAGTACCTGATTACCAAAACCCCACAGTACGTTATATCAATTTTTTTCTTTTGAATTGGTTTATCCAAAAATGCAATAAAATTTGAGGCATTCCGTTTGAAAAGTCACAACTTTGATATGTAGATCGAAATTGGGACACCCTGTATAATGGCCAATATTTTAGAAATGTACCCTCAAATGTCATGTATAACATGCCATAAATAGATTTTCCCATAAATGTGTTTGTTTATGAGTAATATACTGTATACCCTGTATATTCCGCATCGCAGGTACTCGTTAATTCCAGAAAGTTCCGGTACGCCATATAAGCAGCCAGTCCAGAACCTTCGGGGGTCAGTCTTCGATCTCGAAGGGGAGTCCGTGGCGCGGTTCTCAACAGATGGCGCTAGCAGTACTATTCATTCTTGTTACAGTATTATGGTTAGAAATTCATACAGCACAGTAGAACAAAGCAAATATTCAGTGATTGCTCACAGTCAGATTGATCGAACCTTTCTTAGCATTCCAAGTGCCAAGTGAACCTTTTACAGGGTGTCTCACATGGAGAAAAGTGTCTAGAATATTTTGTTCGCTTACACTTGTCGGTTTGTGGGACGATATGGGCTAGAGCTACCAGTAAATCATCATAAATCACCGTAAATCATTGATAAACCATCGTAAATCCTTGTAAAACCTTGTAAATGCTTATAATTCCTCTTAAATCATTAGTAAATCGCTGTAATTATTTGAGGTTGTACACCATAAATCACTAGATATTTACTCCTCGTAAGAATGCGATAGTTTACAAGATGATTCCCGTGCTAGTCTAGTTCTTCTTTTTATTTCTTCAATTGTGTAATACTCGTGGTATAATATTTTATGCATGGTAATTTTCTTGTAATATTAGGTTTTCCTTTGCGATTACATAAGCGAGAGAATATCATTTATGTGCTACATATTCGATAATAAAATTGGAAGGGCATTGTGAAACCCAGATTTACTTTGTAGTTGAACGTGGTTAAACTGTAATTTTATTTCCATGGATTTATCGATATTTTCCAATGGATACGGGTCAGTGATTCAATTTTCACCATTTATTATTCCACATGAACGGCATGTAAAAGTATAAATGCATTCTGGTTTTGAAAATCCTGCCGCGTGAATTTAACATGTGTTGGGACAAAAAAGTGGATAAAGGAAATACCTCGCCTACATACACCTAGACATAAATCATCTTGCATTCCGTGGGTATTTCATATTTATGTGTATTTGCATGTTATTTTTATTTTACCTGAAACATTTGTAATTATGGTTGAAAGAAAATAAATATTATTATTTTTTTATACCGAAGTAGCCGCTCAGCCAGGAGCCTAAATCCCAGGGCACCGCGGCTCCTATGAAGAGCTTAAAGAAACTTTGTTAATCCGATTTATGAATTGCCTATGGTTAGTAGAGGCTCCTCCAATAGGCTGTTCCAGAATTTCGATACCCTATGCACCAAGGAACGGTCGAATCGGTCAGCTCTGGATATACGAAGTTTGCCACGGTAGGATGGGAGGCCGTAGCCAGGCGGGTCTGTCTGGCTGACACATTGCGCGGCGGCATCATTTTACTTGCATTTAAATTTAGTCTGTTAGATGCTAACCATTTTGAGAGAAGCTTCAAGTCTTCATTTATATAAGAGATACCAGACTGAATATTTTTAATACTTATATAAATCATAGTGTCATCGGCGAAAATCTGAATTTTGCATTTTTTGACTATGGCAGGTAAATCATTTATGTATAAAATAAAAAGAAGTGGTCCCAGGATACTGCCCTGTGGAACACCCAACGTATTTTCAATTTTTGATGAAACAGTGTCATTAACTTTTGTAACTTGCATCCTTTTAGACAAATAATTTCTAAACCAATCTAAAACACTTCCTGTTATACCATATGCCTTCAATTTATCTAACAAAATATCTCTATCAATCGTTTCAAATGCCCTCTTCAAATCCAAAAATACTGCTATGACAACTTCTTCTGAGTCTATGGCTCTTCTCCAATTCTCAGTTACCAACTGAAAGCTGTTTCTGTGGAATATTCTTTTCGAAAGCCTGCTTGCGCCTCCACTAAAATTTTGTTTTCTTCTATAAACTGCATTAATTGGTAATGCACTTGGACTCTAATAATTTTTCAATGTCTGGTAACACATTTACTGGTCTCATATCGCTGCATCTTTTAGAATCTTTTATTTTGGGAACTGGTGTTATTGTAGAGCATTTCAAATTTTCAGGAAAAGAACTGCTTCTCAGTGAACAATTGATCCAATTTAATACAGGATATTCCAAAATTTCGAAACAGTTTTTCAGCACGTTTTTAGTAGTGATTTCGGCACATTTGTTATTTGATTTTAAACCGTTTACTTTTTTTCTTAGATAATTCAATGATACGCTGTGGAATTTTGAAAGTGTATGCAACATTTCCCCTTGGAAACTGATTTTCATATAGTCAGGTGCAGCATTGGCAGTACCCACAATATCAACAATACTTTCCACAAAATATTCATTCAGTTTGTTTGCAATCACCAAAGAATTTGTTTCGGTACCGTTTTCGAATTGAACTTGATTTACACAATCATGCGGCTTCAAATTGATCAATCTTTTTAAAATCTTCCACATCTTTACACTGTCGCACTTGTTATTATCGATTTGTTTATCGTAGAATTTCCTTTTTTCTTCTCTAATTACACATTTATCCCTAAGAGTTTTATATACCTCCCAATCATCATTTGATTTTGTGAATATACATTTATTGTATTGTTTGTCTCTCAAATTTTGAGCTGCCTTAATATTCTTGTTATACCAGGGTGTATTTTTTGTCGAGCAAATCACTTTTTTATCAGTTGCAAGATCTAAACAAGTTTTTATATTTCCTATTATGTTGTCATATATTTTTTCCATATTCTCACCAAAATTCCAATAGCAGCCAGCAAGTTCTCGTTCAAGTTTTTCGTACTTAATAGTATTTACGATTTTCTTAATTTTTGTATTAGAAAAATGCCCTACCAAGGGCAGCATTGTCCAACTGTGATCGCTAACTTTAGGTGTATGTACAGCTTTAATCCCTGCACATTCGAAATTTACAATAACAAGATCTAAAAAAGTCTCTGATAATGATGTTATTCTGGTACTCTCTTCAATCTTTTGCTTGAACCCATAGTTGTTTATGGTTTCTTTCAATTTTCTTGTTTTCATGCTTTTACCATAATAATTTAAATTAAAATCACCTAAAAGTATTATATTGTTTCTAAAATTCCACATTTCTTCGCATTTTTCTTCAAAAAACGTTAAAAATGTATCCGTATCACTGTTTGGTGAACGGTGAAAAGTACAAAGATCATAACGTTTCCCAAATAATTTCAACTGTATATGTGCATACCAGTATACATAGTCTAAAGTGGTACAATCGAATAATGTGATCTGTATTTTGTGGTAAACATAAATCACTACACCTCCAGTATGTCTTGAGTTGGAGTTGCATCTGTAGGTTTTATAATTAGTAATTTGTAATTCACCATCAGTGATGTCTTCTGTAGCATGTGTTTCGGTAAGACATAATACAAGTGGTTTTCTCCATCTTAAAAACTGTTGAACTTGATCTATATTATTCAAGACTCCTTGTATGTTTAAATGGTATATTGAGTTATATTCATCACTTACAGATTTAGCCACGTCTTGTAAATCTGATCTTAGTAGTTGCTATTCATTTGCATAACTAATTTTTTCCCTCTCACGTTCAATTTTCCTTTTATATACTTCACAATTTTTGTCAAATGGTCCATGATTAATAGGTAATCCTAGATTAAAATCCTGGTTTGCACTTTTACAATTTGGACAGCATTTGTACATTTCACTGGTACTACAGTTTTCTGTTGAATGTCCTTCTAATCCACAAGTAATACATCTTCCTGATTTTGTGCAGTATTTAGCTGTGTGGTTAAATCCGGTACATTTATAGCATCGCAAAACATTGATGTACTCGAAAACAGAGCAAACAGACATGTCGATAAAAATAACACCCTGGTTCATAACACACTTAAAAGTCACAGCATCCACTTCTAAAATTGCTTGATATTTAGTGACAAAAACCGCACATCAAATCCCCAAAATGCACTTTATTATTGTAAAATTACTAGATCAACTTATGTGCTCAATTAAGCAGATATTTGGTGTATGATGGCTCGAAATTGTTCCTCGTCTTATCGTTGCATCGAAACCGTATATTCTCGTTGACGATTGAGCACGTGAACAACGTCTTCTCGCCAGTAGATTGAGGGAAGAACGGGCCGTACCTAGGCGGTACCTTCTTCTTTGGGTTCATGATCTCGTACGGAGTGTAGTACTTGTTGTGCGAGTACTCCGGGAACTTATCGAAAGTACCGGCTTTGCAACCACCCGCCCACTTAGCAGGACCGGTTGGTATGATCATGCCGGGAGGTAGAGCGGGAAGCTCTTTTGTTTTTCGAGGTACGTATACTGGACCGGGTTTGAATTTCTCGGTGTCCTGAAAGAGGTGATAAAATAGCTGTTCATACAGGATGTTTTTCAGAATATGAGGTCAGCGCCAAGTGTGTTTTTGCCCATAGCTCCGCCACCACTAGACCTAACTATAAAGCTTGTTCATCCTTGGCATAGTAGTAACCCTGTGTGAAAATTTCATCAAACGCCTAGCGGTACTTCTCAAGTTATAGGCTGTTATACAATTAGCGGACGGACCGACAGACAGACTGACAAAATGATACCAGATGTCATTATTTTGACGAGTTACCCCGAATTAAAAAAGAAGGCTCTACGTTGCTTAGAAGCCGAGATAATAGAAGGAATCTCAGCCTTGATGATAGAAGGAAGATACAATCTTTAGTCTTTTTGTTCAAAGTTATAAATTACCAACATGACTGTCTATCATTTTTGTCTATGCTAAATTTCAATACACCTAGAGTACGAACAACCTTGCCTTTTACCTACCTACCCCACGAACGAATCTACTGTTGCACTCACCGCTATATTCGATATGCTCATGTTATAATGACTATATGAATTATTTTGATATCTTCAACACATCCATTTCTATTATTAAGAGAGTATGTAAAGCGGTAGTTTTTTTAGAGCTACCACAGTTTGATTGAGCTATGATCAGTGGTAGCTTTTCATGGGTTCTTATTGGTAATTACTAAGCAATCAATGCAATTAGTTTATTTTATGATTTTTATATATACAGGGTGTCCCAGAAGTCGACGTCAAGCCGAAACCGGGTGATAGGCAAAGTCATAACAGCTATCAGAAAAATATTTAAAAAATTTTATGTATGTGTTTTGAAAATTATAGGTCTTTGAAAAAAATATAGAAATTTCACACCCTACGGCAGTCTGTCAACTCCTGTTACTACAAATATTAACTTTTTTTGGATTTTATTTTTACAATGTAATGATGAATAATGCATCTTCAAACTGGTGTCTCAACCTTACTGCCAACTTTTCTCGTTCAGGAAAAATTGCCACTTATTTCCCAACCAAGTATTCCAAAGTAAAACTTTGCTCAACTTTAACTGGCTGTACTGGAAAAAAATGTACTATGAGAGTTTGGCAAGTAACCTTAAAAGTTGGCGCATTTAATAACGATTCCAAAATGGTATAACACTTAGAAGATTACTAGTTAAACTTATGCACAATTTTCATTTGAAGAAAAACTGATGAAAATTTTTCAAAATTTCCTAATTAAACAGCGATTATGAAAACGCACAAGGACCCTTAAGGATAACTGTATGCATAACAGTGGGCGTCAAAATGCTGCTGATGATGATTTACCTTTACAGCAAATGCTCAAACTGTTTTCCTTCAGCCGCAGTACACGCTCGACATCTTCTTAAAAAAGATCGGGTTATTAAACGAGCGAATCCACGGTTATTAACAAACTCAGCTGCTTAGAAAAGTCTTTGCCGTAGCTCAGCTACATTTTGAATCGGCTTGAAATACACTTTTTCTTTTAAAGTTCCCCAGTAAAAAAAATCGGATTCAAATCTGGTGACCGGGCTGGCCACGGTATTGTACCAGACCGCCCTATCCATCTGCCTGGAAAGTTCATCATGCTGAAACCACATGTCCCTGTAAATACTCAGTGGCACGTCCTCCAATAAATTTTCTAAATGATTTTGAAAAATACCTAAATAAACCTCAGCAGTCAAAGTCTCTGGGAACTCAAACGGACCGATTATTTTACCATTTAAAATTCCTGTCCAATGGTTTATCTTGAAGCGATATTGAGATATATCTTCTCTCATCAAATGTGGGTTTGCTACGTGCCACTCGTGTAAGTTATGCAGGTTCATGTACCCACCTTTCTTAAATGTGGTCTCATCTGACCATAAAATTTTTTCAAAGAACCGTGGATCTTCCCTGTGTCTTTCTAACATTGTGCGACAAAAAGCAACTCGGGGCTCATAATCCCGGGGCAGAAGAGCTTGAACACGCTGTACGTGGTATGGATGGAGCACGTTTTTTTGCAAGATTCTATGGGCTGTACTTTTGGGCACACCTGTTTTTAGTTCTATTGCACGCACTGAAGTACTCGGGTCTTCTTCGACAGCTCCTAGCACCACGTCTTCGTAAGGAAGGAAAGATCTTCCCTCACCGTGTGATTGGTTTGGTAGTTGGCCCTCTGAGAACAGTAAGCGGTGCACATTTGTGAACACTCGATGATCTGGATGACGAACTGCATTCGGGTACCTCTCACAGTAAAGTCTCGCTGCAGCACTAGCGTTGCATCTGCATTCCCCATAAATGAGGTGCATGTTAGCATATTCTTGTACGGTGTACACGGACATAGCGGCACTGCACAATCACACTATCAAAGATAGTCTAAGGAAAGCCAATGTTGTTTTGAAGAGGAATTAAACAGTCCAAATCCAAATCACAAGCGATCAACAGTCCAGTTCACGAATCCAAAATTAGTAACAGTACGAAATCAACAAGCACGAACATGTAAAGATGCGCAGTAAACGAAGGAGTACTGATCGGTATCAAAGTGTGCAATAGCAAGTAAGTGATGTGCTTCATCCATACCACATACAGCGTGTTCAGCCTCTCCTGCCCCGGGATTATGAGCCCCGAGTTGCTTTTTGTCGCACAATGTTAGAAAGATACAGGAAAGATCCATAGTTCTTTGAAAAAATTTTATGGTCGGATGAGACCACATTTAAGAAAGATGGGTACATGAACCTGCATAACTTACACGAGTGGCACGTAGCAAACCCACATTTGATGAGAGAAGATAAATCTCAATATCGCTTCAAGATAAACCATTGGACAGGTATTTTAAATGGTAAAATAATCGGTCCGTTTGAGTTCCCAGAGACTTTGACTGCTGAAGTTTATTTGGATTTTTTGAAAAATCATGTACAAAATTTATTGGTGGACGTGCCACTGAGTATTTACAGGGACATGTGATTTCAGCATGATGGCTGCCCAGCGCACTATGCACTCTCAGTGAGAGAGTATCTGGATCAAAACTTTCCAGGCAGATGGATAAGGCGGTCTGGTACAATACCGTGGCCAGCCCGATCACCTGATTTGAATCCTTTAGATTTTTTTACTGGGGAACTGTAAAAGAAAAAGTGTATTTCAAGCCGATTCAAAATGTAGCTGAGCTACGGCAAAGACTATTGGAAGCAGCTGAGTTTGTTAATAACCGTGGATTCGCTCGTTTAATAACCCGATCTTTTTTAAGAAGATGTCGAGCGTGTACTGCGGCTGAAGGAAAACAGTTTGAGCATTTGCTGTAAAGGTAAATCATCATCAGCAGCATTTTGACGCCCACTGTTGTGCAAACAGTTATCGTTAAGGGTCCTTGTACGTTTTCATAATCGCTGTTTAATTAGGAAATTTTGAAAAATTTTCATCAGTTTTTTTTCAAATAAAAATTGTGCATAAGTTAACGAGTAATCTTCTAAGTGTTATACCATTTTGGAATAGTTATTAAATGCGCCAACTTTTAAGGTTACTTGCCAAACTCTCGTAGTACATTTTTTCCAGTACAGCCAGTTAAAGTTGAGCAAAGTTTTACTTTGGAATACTTGGTTGCGAAATAAGTGGCAATTTTTCCTGAACGAGAAAAGTTGGCAGTAAGGTTGAGACACCAGTTTGAAGATGCATTATTCATCATTACATTGTAAAAATAAAATCCAAAAAAGTTAATATTTGTAGTAACAGGAGTTGACAGACTGCCGTAGGGTGTGAAATTTCTATATTTTTTTCAAAGACCTATAATTTTCAAAACACATATGTAAAATTTTTTTAAATATTTTTCTGATAGCTGTTATGACTTTGCCTATCACCCGGTTTCGGCTTGACGTCGACTTCTGGGACACCCTGTATATATATATATATATATATATATATATATATGTATAGGTGAAAAATTAAAGCTTCCGCCTTTTGTTGGGTACTTCGACAAGATTTAAGCAAAGAGGACTCTTTATACTTTTTTTTAATTCTCTCTAGCTTTCAATGGACTTTGCCATCATCATCAGGAGCTGCAATTACAATGATAACAGTAGCAACAAAGGTGTAAAATGAATTTAAATTGACTCAACTTACAGTAGTATGTGAGGATGTTGCTAATTGTTGTTTACGTATAGGATGAGGGAAACGTCCAGTAACATGGTGAGAGCTGAATAGATTGCACAATAGTCAAAATTTATACAAAACATGACAAGAACAAGTTAAAAACAGATTAAAAATTATTTTAAAAAATTAGAGCATTACATCGTGAAACCACCTGATGATTGCACAAATTAGTGGTCATGGAATGATGAATTGATGAGTGACATGAAACCCTTTGACAGAAGGCCGAAGGATGTCAATGTCAGTATTGAAAGATGGAACGAATTGTGGGCGTGTGCCAAAAAAAAAGTATAAAGAGTCCTCTTTGCTTAAATCTTGTCGAAGTACCCAACAAAAGGCGGAAGCTTTAATTTTTCACCTAACTGGTCTAGACGACAATGACCACGTCTCAAGTTATATATGTATATATATATGAACTGTATTTTCCATCAGTAATTGGTTTATAAACTGTTGGTGGTGTAATTAAATAAATAAATAAATAACTAATGCAAAATTTCACAGCGCGCTCCGATTTGAAGGCTCAATTTCAAAAAATAAATCGAGCTAGAGCTGATTCACCCACCACATCACCCGGAAATACTCACGCGAGTACCTTCACTTTAGGTGGTTAATTCTTAAAGACCTTTGAACTAATTAACAATTATAAATTGGATAATCAAATTGAGATCCTTGCTCGCAATTTGTGAAAATTTCGAGTCTTAATGTATATAAAAAAGATATGAATTTAAAAAAAATTATCTTGGATCCTATTGGTCGTAGAAGGTTTTTTAAAATATGCGTTTTTAACCACCTATCCAGATCAACTTGTTAAAATAAAATATATTGAAAATAACGGGGTTATTGTAAATGTTTATAACTATAGAAATGGCTATATCTTTAACATCATTTTTAACAACGATTTTGAAATAATTAATTTATTATATAAATTCTTGAAGTGGAAACATTCTAGAATCCATTGGGCTTTTGTAAAATGTTCTAGGACCAGATCTTCAGATCTTGGGCAAGAACAGTTGTTTAAATAATTCGTCTCTGGGATAAACAATTAGCTTTTTACATAAACTATCAAACCGATCCGGCTAAAATTTAGCACACATTAACACCAATGATGCCCTCATTATCACAAATTTTTAACCATTTACAATTGTTATTGCAATAGTTATAAACATTTATTCAATATTGCTAAAAGGTATTTAGCTTAATTGGTTATCGATTTTGATTCTTAAAAAATAAAGTTGAACGTCTTCTTATGCTCTAAATTCTCCAGTTTACCGACTATTATACAAAGTACTGAATTTTGAGCTTTTCCCATTGTTTATAAACATATTCAGGGTGTTCCTTGATGATATGCGAATATTTAAGGGTGTGAATCTACATGTAAAATTAATGTTAGTTTGCTTTATAAACTATGGTCCAAAAATGTTTCCTTACAAAAACTCGGGGTGTTGAAATTATAGGAAAAAATGGAAATTAATTAATATTTTCAGAACCCCTTCAGATATTTCACTGATATTTAGTACGTACTTAAAGTTAATAAAGTTGCATATTTTTCAATGCAAAAATAATGTTTAGCTTTAACAGTGGCGTGCATACGGGTATTGACTTCGATATTTTTTAAGAAAAAAATGGTACGCCAATGGTTTTTGCCAAATAAACATTATTCTTGAATTCCCCGTTCAATATAAAACAAATGATCTCTCTTGAATTATTTTTCTCCGATGCGCCATGTTTGAGTAAAAAAATAATAACTGTTCTATTAGTGCCATCGCTTATATGCTGGGGAAGGTTACACAAGATTACACTCCCTTGCGGAGTGTCTAAATCTATATCCTGCATCCCAGACAAGACGTTATTTACTTTCACTGTTCTGTGTAGTTGACTTATGGAATCATGAACTATAAATAGACAAAGAGAATACTTTACACATACTTTAAACGGATCAGGTCCAAAATATGCACTGGGATAATGCGAAGAAACAAACGGTCCGTTCAAGGTTCGTCCATACTCCTTGTACTTAGCTCTGGTTCCATAGCGATTTACAGCATGTTCTGGGTAAGGGTTGATGCCGATGTCTGCGTAACCGCATCCACCCATTTTGTCTGCACCAATTACAAAGTTCCTTCCCTTTCCTCCTTTGAATGCGGGCTTTGGACGCCGTTTGTTGCTGAACGCCTCGATGTTGCCGCTGAAGCAGCCTGGAGACGTCAAATGTTTTTTTCAGAGGAAACACGTCTACTAATCCTTTCGTTAGTCTCTGCACGCAGGAAAAGTTGCGACTAAGCGGCGTATCGTCTGTCTTCTCTACAATAGGATGCCTTTATGGCTTCCTTAATTTTCATAGTCTTTGCTCTCCTTCAGAAAGGCTGGTTATTTCTAGATTTCTCTGTTCCGTGTCAGCGTCAGCGCTCTTCTATTGTGAAGTTATGTTCTCTTTTTGAATCGTATGGAATTTTAAGCTGGTAAAACAATTTGATGCAAATAGATATACTAAGTGACATATAAATCCGAACACCCAGTTTAAATGGTTTTATTTTAATAAAAGTTGGTGAATGTATTTATCTTACTGTAAATAACAAGTGAAAAAATGTTCAGCCTTATCAGTTGGACATTCCGGTTTTTATACTGCTTTTTTTTAATTCACTAACGCTCTAAAAATGAATATTTCAGCCGCAGTAAAGAATCAACGTTGGCGGATTTTGGTTCTTGACATCCTTTACGATCGGTTACGATGCCTAGAGTACGGAGACCTGTACGATTTCGTCAACTTAGTGAGTTTGATAGGGGCCGTATAGTGGGACTTCGGGAAGCTGGACTTTCTTTTCAGGCAATTGCAGTTAGAGTGCAAAGAAGTGTAGACACTGTGGTTAGGTGTTGTCAGGCATGGCTTCGAGAAGGCCGTATGCAAACAGCAAGGGGCACTGGACGCCGCCGTAGAACAACAGACCGTGAAGATCGCCGCCTAAGATTATTGGCCTTAAGGGACCGTTTCTCCACTACCAAGTCCATTGCAAATGAATGGTTTGCAGAACACGGAAGACCTATTGGCATGCGAAGTGTTTACCGATGAATGAGAAGTTTTGGCTTGTTTTCATACCGGCCACACTGGGTCCTCCCTTTAACTCGAGAACACCGACGTAATTGCCTTGAGTGGTGCAGACAACGGTCAGTCTGGGATCAGGAATGGAACAGTATTGTCTTTAGCGACGAGTCTCGATTTTGTTTAGGCATGCAGGATGGTCGTGCCAGGGTCAGAAGGCGACGTGGTGAAAGGAGGAATCCACAGTTTTTTGTTGAAAGACATGTTCATCACACTGTTGGAGTTATGGTTTGGGGTGCTATAGCTTATGGTCCCAGGTCACCTTTAATCTTCATCAGAGGTAACATGAACGCGCAGCGTTATATCCACGAAGTTCTAGAACCCCATCTTTTACCCTATCTTGACACCCTGGCAGATCCAACTTTCCAACAAGATAATGCCCGACCACATGTTGCAAGAGTCACAATAGACTTCTTTCAACATAATGATGTCACATTGTTACCATGGCCACCAAGATCTCCCGACTTATTTCCAATTGAGCACGTGTGGGATATGATGGGTAGGAGATTGCTCAATTTGCAACGTCCTCCTCAGACTCTAGAAGCACTTCGAGAGGAGTTGGTGGTTGCCTGGAATGAGATACCACAGGAGGACATTGACCAACTGATCAGAAGCATTCCTAGGCGCGTTGGAGAATGCGTAGCACATCAGGGTGCATCCACACATTATTAAAGGTCAAAGGGCTTTAAAGCAGTGCAATCATTTTGAAATTTTTATCATTTACTTATTATGCTTCATTAAGTACTTATACAAAATTTTATTAAAATAAAACCATTTAAACTGGGTGTTCCGATTTATATGTCACTTAGTATATTTGTGACATATTCTCAAAATAGAGTGCTGACACGGAACAATAGAAAACTATGAAAATCAAGGAGGCCATAAAGGCGACCTACAATTGTAGGAACGACTGACGATACGGGCCTTAGAGCCGTATTGTCACTCATTAAAGTTAGTAGAGGAGGAAATGTAACTTTTGAAAATCTTGCAGGGTGAAAGCTCTGAAGCATTTAGAAAACCTTAAGAAAAGAAACCATCCCAATAACAATCCCTGGGAATAGAAACCAGGTTGAAGTACTGGACAAGCTTGTTGATGCTGCTTTAGTTCAAGAGACAAATATTCAAGTCTCAAGGGATCAGAAAACCATACCCCATTCTCGCCTTTTCTTGAAACAACCCTTCGAGAATTGAATAATGTAATGTACACACTCTGTATATAGATGCTCCCTTGACGAGTTCTATACAAACTTTGTTTGTATCAAGAAAAAAAGAAATTATTATTACACATTCAAATCATCAAAAGTACCAAAAGGATGGACACATTGGGTTTATTGATAACGTCCTTTTGGTTTTATACATATTTGTAACAAGTGCTCTCATCCACGCTTTCGTTTTGAAACACCATTTGGCTGCAACAACCTCAGCGACGACTTGACAATTGATCGTATTTATTGCCCAACTGGTCGTTGGCAATGGCAATGAGTACTGCTCGTATATATACAGGGTGACTTTGAAGTTGAGTCATTAATTTTCAGATGATGATTGTAGAAGGAAGATAAACCAAAATATGTGTGTAAAAATAAAAAAAAATAAAAAAAAAATTTTACCTTGTTTTCTAAAGTATCCTCCCGACAAGTATTTCAGTGCGGACCTGTATTTGATCGTGCGGTCTTGGAGCACCGGCATGCCCTCCCCTGTGAGGTCTTAAGTCACCTGATTCACGAGCCCTTTGTACTACATTAACAAAGGCACGAGGGGTTGGTTGCACTCGATTGGGAAAACGATCCGCATAAATCCGTGATGCCGCGTGAATAAGAATCATGTCCACAAGTTCAGCATTTTCGTAAACATGTGCCATTTTTGATTTCGTTTGAGCCACGCAACAGACACCACTATTCACTCACGCGTTACCGACTGACACTGACTGTATACAACTGAATAAAATAATTGTAAAAACATCGTTCCAAATTCTTTCGCTTTTTTGTTTCCGATGCGATGAACCGATAAGGCGGATTATATCCGTTGTTGCCGAACACGAGCACATAATATTATTATTGAGACAGGGCGGTACTCAAACTTCCAAAGGGCTATAACTTTGTTACTTTAATTTTACCAGAAAAATGTTAAAGGAAAAAACATTTCTTTTGATCAGATCTACTCACTGTCCGCCTTTTGTTGGGTACTTCGACAAAATTTAAGAAAGGAGGACTCTTTATACTTTTTTATTCTCTCTAGCTTTCAATGGTCTTTGCCATCATCATCAGGAGCTGCAATTACATTGATAACAGTAGCAACAATAGTGTAAAATGAATTTAAATTAACTTACAGTAGTATGTGAGGATGTTGCTAATTGTTGTTTACGTTAAGGATGAGGGAAACACCCAGTAACATGGTGAAAGCTGGATAAATGGTACAATGGTCAAAATTATACAAACTAGACACAGCTGTAGAACAAGTTGAAAACAGATTAAAAAATATTTAAAACGAAAGTTAAGCATTACTTCGTGAAGCCACTTGATGATTGCACAAACTGGTGGGCATGGAATAATGAGTAAGATTAACCTTTTGACAGATGGCCGAAGGTTAGCAGTATCTGTGTAGAACGATGGAACGAAAATTCTTTTGTGGGCGTGTGCTACGTTGCCAAATCACTTCAGATGGTGTGATTTTCAAGATATGTTGGGTAAGAACTTGTCAACTGCCTCCGGTCGGATTGACAAGTTTTTACTAACGCCACGGAGTACCACAGGGATCTATCCTCGGACCAAACCTGTGGAGTCTATAGTCGCTGATCTCACGGTAGAAAACATTAAACGATTTCACAGTATGCAGATGATTTGTGCCTGCTAAATGAGTCCAAACATCATGGGAGCAAAGTGGGCAATGAAAGAAATATTTGAGTACTATGATCGGCGGGGGCTTACTTGTAATAAGCAGAAAAATGAGTGAATTGTATTAGGATGGCCTGATTAAAGAAATAATTATTAAGCTTGATCTTCAGCTAGAATGTTCCTCTATAAGTGAGATTGAAAATAATTGAAGCATACGTCTACACGGTACTAACATACGGAATTATTGCTGTGTTCCCTCGCAGAAGTAAAATTAACATTTGTAAATTAGAGAGATGGCTTAAGAAGGTATATAAAAGAGCAAGGCAGTTCCCCTACTGTATCCCAGATGACATACTCTGTTGGGCGATGGTACGAAAGGACAGTGTGGCAACAGGCCCGAAATAAAAAAAATATTTTTTTGAAAACAAGCCTTTATTTAGATGTTCATAAAATAAACTAAAAATTTAATATTTTTTTCCGATCAGAAATATTCAAAAAATACTGAAGCTCCCTCATTTCGAGTTTTCAAATTACACCCTTCCTGCTGTTAAAACGTGACACGCTTTTATTTGAAGACTTGAGAAGAAGGAGCTTCATTAATACTTAAATATTTTCAATCAGAAAAAGTATTTTTATGAACAGCTACAGTAAACCTTGTTCATAAAAAATATATCTTTTTATTTATCTTTAATTCACATACCGTAGTAATCTCCTGGTGTTGAGTGAAACTTCGGACCAGCTGGAGGCATGAATGGCGTTTGAGATACATTTTTGTATTTAAGTGGTGGTGGTTTCCTTCCTCTGCCTTTAATCGCTTCACCTTCGAATATCCGTTTGAAAGGGTCTTTGTCGAAATAACAGTCTTGTTTACCCGTCTTTACCTTTGGCCCCGGCCCCATTAGGTTAAGACCCTTTTCGAGTTTTGGTCTGAAAGAGAGATATAAACGGCATTTCAAATTGATTTCACTTTTCAGTTGCCCATTCTCTTCAAAATACCAAAATTATTTTCGCCGTGATTCAAATGATGGTTTAATAACCTGTCATAAGGTAAATTAGTTTATTTGGGTTCTCTATAGATAACACTGGACAACAAATTTTAGTTTTTTAATTGTATCTTGTGGGAAAAGTGCACTTCTCTGTTAATTTTGGGGCGCTGAATCCAAAAATGACAATGAAATAAAAAAATTAGTTGCGGTTTAGAAAAAAAACTTTTTATTTTTAAGGATATATTAAAAAAAGTAACAAGATTCATATACTTTTAAGAATCACTATATGCGCTGTCTTTTTGCTGTTCTTTTATGGATCGTTTCTGGAGCATCTCTACCAAGAGTCCAATAGTAGTCTGCAAGCATGGAAGGATTCCACTTTCCCTGGTACCTTTTTTCCATTGCTGAAATATCCTGATGAAAACGTTCGCCGTGCTCATCACTTACGGCTCCGCAATTATCAGGAAAAAAGTCCAGGTGTGAGTGTAGGAAATGTATCTTAAGAGACATATTACAGCCCATCTTTTGATACGATGACAGCATATTTTTGACAAGGGTTTTATAGTTGTCTGCTTTTCTATTTCCCAAGAAATTAGTGACCACCAGACGGAAATCATTCCAAGCAGTTTTTTCAATACCTGTTAAAGTGTTTTCAAACTGTGTATCTTTCAAAATATTTCGAATCTGTGGCCCAACAAAAATACCTTCTTTAACCTTTGCCTCACTTAGTCTTGGAAATTTCTGACGCAGGTATTGAAAAGCTGACCTATCTCTATCTAATGCCTTGACAAAGTTTTTCATTAGGCCCAACTTGATATACAGTGCTGGTAATAAAATTTTTTTCGAATCTACTAATGGCATATACTGTACATTTTTTTGACCTGGCTCTAGGAATTGATGAACAGGCCAGTTTTGTCTGGTGTAATGAAGTGCCTTTGCCCGACTGTCCCATTCACACAAAAAACAGCAAAACTTTGTGTAGCCTAGCTGCAGCCCAAGTAAAAGTGCAACAACTTTCAAATCGCCACAAATATGCCATTGGTGCTCATCGTATTTTATGCATGTCAATAGGTACTTCATATTGTCATATGATTCTTTCATGTGAACTGCATACCCTACAGGAAGAGATGGTAAAATATTTCCAATATGCAATAACACTGCCTTTAAACTCAATGTTGAACTGTCTATAAACAATCTCCATTCTTCTGGGTTATAGTTTATATTTAAAGCCGCCAGTAAGCCGTTAATGTTACTGCAGAAAACCAAGTTATTCTCCATATTGAAAAATGGTTCCAAGTCTTTGTGGCGTTTACGAAAAACACATACCGAAACATCGTCTTCTAACAAGTTCCACTGCTGCAGTCTTGATCCAAGTAACTCTGCCTTACATTTTGGAAGTTCTAAATCTCTTACAAGATCATTTAATTCTGACTGTGTTATTTTGTGAGGTTGGTGGCATGACGTGCTCGGTATAAAATCAGGATCTCTTGACGTTGATGGTATATCATCTTCCTGACGAATCACTCGATCGCCATGATCTGATCCGATTACATCATATTTCCAAATTGCAATAACACTACCTTTAAACTCAATGTTAAACTGTCTATAAACAATCTCCATTCTTCTGGGTTATAGTTTATATTTAAAGCCGCCAGTAAGCCGTTAATGTTACTGCAGAAAACCAAGTTATTCTCCATATTGAAAAATGGTTCTAAGTCTTTGTGGCGTTTACAAAAAACACATACCGAAACATCGTCTTCTAACAAGTTCCACTGCTGCAGTCTTGATCCAAGTAACTCTGCCTTTCATTTTGGAAGTTCTAAATCTCTTACAAGATCATTTAATTCTGTGTTATTTTGTGCGGTTGGTGGCATGACGTGCTCGGTATAAAATCAGGATCTCTTGACGTTGATGGCATATCTTCTTCCTGACGAATCACTCGATCGCCATGATCTGATTCGTTTTCTGATTCGCAAGTGTAGGATTCTGGGGGTTTTGGAATAGGATTTTCGTCACTGTGAGGCACAGGTCTCATCGCAGGTGGTATGTTTGGGTAGTTAATAACCGATTTTTTTTTCTTAGACATACCTGTGGCTTGTCCAACACAAGGTACCATGCAAAAGTAACAATCATTAATATGATTTGTAGGCTCTCTCCAAACCATTGGGACAGCAAAGCGCATAGACCGTTTTTTGCCATTTAACCAGCTCCTCAGACTTGAAGCACATGTATTACAGCAGATGTGGGGTGCCCACTGTTTGTCTTGATCACCTAGTTTACAACCGAAATAAAGCTGATATGCCTTTGTTATTAGTGGAGTAATAGACCGTCTCTGAGACGCAAAAGTCACATCACCACACACGTAACAAAACTGATCTGGATTGTTTACACACTTTCGAGACATCTTGCATGAACGCTGTCAGCCAACTGAGGAAAAAATGGCTAATATAACACAATATAATGTACACGTATGTATAACGTAACACAATCATGCCGATTACATCATCTTTCCTTGCCGAATATAAAAATGTAGCACGTGCATTCTTGTGAATGACAGTATATTAACACTGTCACAGCAGGAACACATATAATTACCGTATCTCTAAAACTTGAACTAATATTGAAAAAATAAGTTTCATTCCGGTTTTAGCACATTAAAAATGGTAATATTTTGTTGATTTTATTTAGGATATTTTTTGGCTGTTGATCAGTGATAATCGAGGAATATTGAAAGATATATTCAATATATTAATGCAGAATCCTCTTATTGTAGTTTAACCATTAAAGTACATACTTTGGGAATGGTGACACGTATCCTTTGCCATTCATATAAGGCATCTCGGAAAACAAGCCTAGCCTCTCCATATCTGGCTTCCCGAACTGGTTGCCAAGCTCTCCAGATTGCGCATGCATTCTTCTTGAATTTTGAAAACAATAAAGATTAATGTCAGCTAAAAGTTCAGAATTGAAAAGTGTTACAGCTCCGTCGTCTGTAATTATGACTGTCATGTCAAACTGCTGAATATCTGTCTGTTCGTCTACTATGCGTCATTATTCGTCAGAGCGGTCCGGTGGGCCTTTGCTCTTAGTTAAAAGTCTCGTCGGTCTGTTAGTCCGGATGCCCAGATACCAAACATGTTTAAGGGGAAAAGCGAAAGAAGGAAAGAAAGGAAGTACGAAATAGAGTAAAGAAAAGAAGTCAATCATTTGAATTATTTTGTAACGACAAAAAAATCTTTTTGATCGGTTTTGTATACTGAAATAATTTTGGCTCGTCTGAATTTACAATTTAATTTTGAACGCAGTGCGAGGCGCGGCCTGGAATGTTTGCGAACTTGCTCGACTGTATAGTCTACTGAATCACGCAACAGAGGGTTGCTGTGCGATTCCGCTTGATTATAACGCTGCTGCGCCTGTTGTTTTACATAATCCCTTAGATATGGGATATCAAGATCTCAGTGAATGGTCTCATTTGACACGTACCAAGGCGCGTTAGTAATTGTTTTGCAGGACTTGCAGTTTCTGCATGTGCGTCTTGGCAAGAAAACACTAAGCCGCGCATGCGTATGTGATTGCGGGTCTTATGACCATCTTACGGGCCGTGTTGTTGACAACACATTGTTAATTTTGATCCGAAACTTCCTTCCTTCTAGAAGAGATTTCAACAGTTTTAGTAGCCAAAATGGAAAACCCCGTTTGGATGACCTTATACAAGAGGCCCATGTGCCACACCTGGTCAAATGCCTTTGATACATCTAAAAGCAAGATACCAGTACTTTTGTTCAGGGTGAACCCCCTGGTTACATGGTCCGCCAGTCTAACTGCCTGTAGCTCCGTACTATGCTCAGACCGAAAGCCGAATTGTACGTCAGGAATCACATGGTGATCTGACGAGAAATTCTCAAGGTGACGATAAATCACCTTTTCAGCGAGCTTAGAAGGAGCTGACAGCAGACTAATGGGACGGTAATCCTGGGGGAATATCGAACCTGCCGTCTTTGGGATCATGATGACTTCAGCGACCTTCCACGCCTTAAGGAAGTAATGGGTTCTGAGCATTGCATTGATTATATTGAAACCAGATAAGTCAAAGCCTTGAGCGAAAGCAACTTCAGTGCTTTGTTGTTGATTTGATCCTCTCCAGGTGTTTTACGCACCTTTAGGTCCTTAATGTGGCCTTGGAGCTCTGCTGGTGTGCAAAACGGAATGTCAGAGGATTCCGTTGATGTGCTAAGCTGAGATTCATCTAAAGAGTCTTCCGTACAAGAATCTTCTGAAAAGGAGTCACCGATGTTAGCACCGATGTTGGTATCGCCATTCGCTCTGAAGTATCTCCTGACAGATCTTGTGTATATATATGTGTATACATGTATCCATGTACATACTGTATATAGTTTTGTATTTTAGTTTATAGAATAGTTTAGTTATAACTATAATTTTTTTTATAACATCTTAGGCAATGCACATTACATCGTGCTCTAAATGCACTGACAAAGATAGTTAAGTGTAGCCTAGGCTAAACTTCGCTATCTTTGTCCCTCACCTGTACAACAAATAAAGGCGTTATTATTATTATTATTATTATTATTATTATTATTATTATTATTATTATTATCTTACAATTTATCGTTCCTCGTCGAGGTCATTGTCCAGATCATAATTGGGAGAGAACTGCCTTTCCATGACGTCACTTTTTCCTCAGTCCTGAAAACTATGCCTCCAGGACCATGAATATGTGATAGTTGTTCTTGCCTTCCGTTTCTGAGCGATTTTGCCACTTTCCAAAGAGTAATACTTGATTCAAGCATCCCCGCCAGAAAGTCGCTCCACTGCTCATTGCGGAATTCATGGAGTGCATTTCTTACTTCATGGACGAGATTCGTCGCTCTACGAATGTCATCCGGATGACTTAATGCTTAATCGCAGCCCTCTTTTCAGAAATTTTCCGAAGAATGTCAGCAGGGAGAGGTCTGTTCGTCATTGTCCATGGAACCTTTGCTGCGAGCACTGCCCCGCAGATATGAGAAGGGGCAAGGTTGCCCGGTACGGCTGGGAAACTATGTCTATGGACGTATTGTATGGGCCTGTTTGACTGACACGATCTTTAATGTCTCTGTTGTATATGTTCGTTACTATATTTTTCTCAGAGGGTTTAGCTTCTACTGAACCTAATCCTTTATGACCTGATGACGGCGTTGCATAGGAAGTGCAGGGCCAAACAACTTGACGCTAGTTTTTTTGAATGTACACATAAAATTACTTTTTAAAATTGTTGTACGAGCCCCGTCCAGCTTCAGTTGGCCCACTTGGTAAATTTGCAATTATTGGCATATATTGACGATCATTTAAACTAATAGAGGCATAATTCTTAATTTTTATTTTGCAAACAGCATCTTATACAAAAAACTAAACTAATTATAACACTTGGAGCTGACTAGCGCGAAAAAAGGAGAAACAACAAAATTTGTGATTTTTATCTCTAAGAAACAAGAATTCGTAACTCATTTTACCACTGAGTAACATCACCTTTATTTTTAATTACAGCTTCAATTCGTCGAGGCAAAGTATTTATTAAGTCCTGACACTCATCTGGAGTGAAATTATCCCAAATGTTCTGCAGTTTTTCCTTGAGTTCTTGCACAGTTCTGGCAGGTCTCTATGAGTGAAAGGTCCGGACTACTAGAAACCCATTCTAGGAGTGGTACTTCATGGTCTAAAAGCCATTTCGTGTTTTTTTAAGTATGTCAGGCAGCGCCGTCTTGCTGAAAGATGAAGTGATTTCCAGAGATTCTGCTCTGCTCCAAAGTAGGCAACAAAAATTTCTCTAGGATGTCTAAATATTTATCTGAATTAACAATGCCATTGATAAAATGCAATCTGCAACTCCTCTTGCCGACATTGAAGCCCAGAACATTACTGAAGAGCCGTTTTACACTCAAGAGAATTACTCCGAAAATTATGGTGATAATTATACCGAAAATTTTTGCTGTCGTATTACACGTAAAAGAATTCTTGTGAAAATTTTCATGGTAAAAATATAAAACTCGTTCTATAGAATATGCGCGAGAATCGACGCAGATGGTTATTTCCGTGCATGTCAATATCAAATGTCAAAGTCAACAACATAACCTCACTTAACATTTGTTGGTGTGGTCCTGTTCGAGTCGTACGAAGAAGCGTTTATTGTTATTGTTTATTCATAATGTAGTGGAATGTTGTTATTGTTTATTCATAATGTTGTGGAATCGGAAAGAAGTTACACTGTTGTTGGAGGAGTACCAAAAATGGCCAAACCTGTATAAGGTGAAGTCGCGCAATGACAAACACAAAAATTTGCGGCGTCAGGCGCTGGATGCGATAGTCCAAGCATTGAGAAGTTTTATAATATTAACCAAGATCTCTAATTCAAAAATAAATTTAAATCAACGACGTCTGTTGTCTTTCCGATTAGATTGGACGTCATACCCGTTAAGGTTATGTCCATTCGAAATATGCGAAAATGTTACTCTAATGCGCAGGCGTATCATATGAATTACTCGTAAATTTTGTTTGCTTGTGTCATACAGGTTATAGAGAAAATATTCAATATTTTTTCCATGCAAATTTCTGGCATAATTATGACCATAATTTTCGAAGTAATTCTCTTATGTGTAAAACGGCTCGAAGATGGAAATTTAACTTTGTGCTTGAAAAAATCAGGATGATAAGTTTCCTGTTTTTGGCGAATAACTCTGCTCCGACTATCACCGACGCAAAGTTCGGATCGTGACTCGTCACTCCAGTGCACACGATTCCACCTCTCCATATCCCAATTTCGATGGTTTTTAGCTCATTTTAACCTGTTTTGCTTCTGCTTTAGTGTCAATAATGGTTTTTCTTTAGCCTGCTCCAAAGGAAACAATAATTACACTGGACAACAAATTTTAGTTTTTTAATTGTATCTTGTGGGAAAAGTGCACTTCTTTGTTAATTTTGGGGCGCTGAATCCAAAAATGACAATGAAATAAAAAAATTAGTTGCTGTTTAGAAAAAAAACTTTTTATTTTTAAGCATATATTGAAAAAAGTAACAAGATTCATATACTTATAAGAATCACTATATGCGCTGTCTTTTTGCTGTTCTTTTATGGATCGTTTCTGGAGCATCTCTACCAAGAGTCCAACAGTAGTCTGCAATCATGGAAGGATTCCACTTTCCCTGGTACCTTTTTTCCATTGTTGAAATATCCTGATGAAAACGTTCGCCGTGCTCATCACTTACGGCTCCGCAATTGTCAGGAAAAAAGTCCAGATGTGAGTGTAGGAAATGTATGTTAAGAGACATATTACAGCCCATCTTTTGATACGATAACAGCATATTTTTGACAAGGGTTTTATTGTTTTCAGCTTTTCTATTTCCCAAGAAATTAGTGACCACCAGACGGAAATCGTTCCAAGCAGTTTTTTCAATACCTGTTAAAGTGTTTTCAAACTGTGTATCTTTCAAAATATTTCGAATCTGTGGCCCAACAAAAATACCTTCTTTAACCTTTGCCTCACTTAGTCTTGGAAATTTCTGACGCAGGTATTGAAAAGCTGACCCATCTCTATCTAATGCCTTGACAAAGTTTTTCATTAGGCCCAACTTGATATGCAGTGGTGACGAACAGGCCAGTTTTGTCTGGTGTAATGAATTGCCTTTGCCCGACTGTCCCATTCACACAGAAAACAGCAAAACTTTGTGTGGCCTAGCTGCAGCCCAAGTAAAAGTGCAACAACTTTCAAATCGCCACAAATATGCCATTGGTGCTCATCGTATTTTATGCATGACAATAGGTACTTCATATTGTCATATGATTCTTTCATGTGAACTGCATACCCTACAGGAAGAGATGGTAAAATATTTCCAATATGCAATAACACTGCCTTTAAACTCAATGTTGAACTGTCTATAAACAATCTCCATTCTTCTGGGTTATAGTTTATATTTAAAGCCGCCAGTAAGCCGTTAATGTTACTGCAGAAAACCAAGTTATTCTCCAT